AGATAGATAGATAGATAGATAGATAGATAGATAGATAGATAGATAGATAGATAGATAGATAGATAGATAGATAGATAGATAGATAGATAGATAGGAGGAGTTAAAGACAAGGAAGGCAAAATGATATTTGAGAAACAAGAAGTCCAAGAAAGATGGGCAGAATATGTAGGAGAATAATTTGTGAGGCATCGTGATGGAATCAGGCTCTCGTCAATTTTTGGGCATGTAGAGTTATTGGTATCATCTTAAAGCTTGTTCACCTGTCTTTATTTGGATGAAAAAAGTATCCATTTATCTTGAATGCAAGTCGAGATATTTGCGATTGAAGGAGGTGGGGGGTCACCTGTTTTCAGATGTAAAATTAGGGAGAAAATGGCGTCAAAGATTAGTTATTTTCTTAGCTTAAGAGCCTGTTTTAACTGAAAATGTACATTTTTTTTGTACTTTCAATCAACGTTTTTAAGAAAAATCCCCACAGAAATGAGTTCTTTAATAGACTTGAAAGGTGTTGAGCCAAAAAACAAAAATTTGATAAAAATTCACAAACCTGCGGAAAAATGCAGATTTCTTCACTTTGATTAATTTGACGAGAGCCTGATTCCACCACGCTGCCTCACATTTGAAGATAAACGACCACCCTTTCCACAACCAAGCAACAATAATGGCTCCAAACGATCTACTGTGCGGAGAAAGGGTGAATGAAAACCATGCCACCACGCTACTACAACGCCACACCACACCACGCCACACCATCCACCCCACCACTCACCCCACCACCACACCAGAACACCACCCACCACACCACGCAACCACGCCACGCCACAACATCCACCACGCCACAATACCACCCACCACGCTACCACACCACAACACCACGTTACCACACCATCCACCACCCCACCACGCCACACCACAACACCACCACACCACAACATCCACCACGCCACAATACCACCAAACCACATCGTCCACCACACCATCCACCACGTCACCACACCACACCACCACACCATCCACCACGTCACCACACCACACCACCACACCATCCACCACGTCACCACACCACACCACCACGCCATATTTTGACAAAGGAAGCAGGCATCAGTTCCTTTCTTCCCATAATAATCCACAAAGGAAAGAAAAAACAACAAAAAACACAACACAAAATGTAGCCAGAATCGTGCAACTACAAGACAAGTTTATTCTCAGCAACTGGCACAGTCAATGACAACAACAGGGGATAACTAATTATGTGCAGGTTGGTTTGTGTGCACACACGTGTCCTTCTGTGTCCTTCTGTGTCCTTCTGTGTCCTTCTGTGTCCTTCTGTGTCCTTCTGTGTCCTTCTGTGTCCTTCTGTGTCCTTCTGTGTCCTCCCAGCCCTTTGGCCGACACCGCTCACACAAACAGATGTCCTATGTCCTTCCATCAGTCTCACCAACACTGCCACAAACAGCTGATTATGTCCTCTGTCCTTCCATCAGTCTCACCAACACTGCCACAAACAGCTGATTATGTCCTATGTCCTTCCATCAGTCTCACCAACACTGCCACAAACAGCTGATTATG